TCTACTGTTGGATAGTGCTTAAAATACATTTTATCTTTCAACATGTCTTGGTTTTTATTGGTGTATTGGGATCTGCTAGCTCTTGCTAGCGTTAGCTTAGCATGGCTGCTGCTTCTCTCCCGGCTTCCTCCGTTTTCAGTTGCTCCGTGTGTCAGATGTTTAGTTACTCCTCTGCCTCCTTTAGTGATAATGATACAACAAATGTAGTCTTATGGTAGCTTTGGAGGAGAGGCTGTCTGAACCCTTAGACAGCATGGAACCACAGAGGCTAGCTCCCGTTAGTGGTCCTCCAGCAGACCCCGAGCAGCCGGGACCCCAGACCGGCTGGGTGACGGTCCGGAGAAAGCGTAGCGTTAAGGCTAAACCCCCAGTTCACCACCGACCCATTCACGTTTCTAATAGATTTTCCTCGCTCAGTGACACACCCGCTGAGAAACAGCTCCTGGTTATTGGTAGGGCTGAGTACCGAACCGAGGTTCTTAAATGGCACCGACCGAACTGCACCGGTCGGTGTATGGATTGAAACATCACTCTTTTTTCGGTGTCAAGTTTCAGTACTGGCTGTAACGTGTCAAGTGGTTTCAGCATGCAGGCAGGTAAAACACCAGACATATGACAAATAGACTACGTGTTTACACCCAGAGCTGTATAGAGCTGTCGTATCTAATCTATGTATAATGTATGTCTATGGGGCTGGTTACGCCCACAGACGGGGTTCACGTGTGCAGCGCATGTGTTGTCGAACAGCTTCGACAACACACGCAACTGTCTGCTCGTGTTTTTCTGCAAGAAAACAGACGGACAGCAGCCTCCCCTCATCCTCTCAGCGTTAAAGTCAGCCTGTGGGTGTTAAACAGACTGAATCAACATCTCCACGGCCGGACTCCTCTTCATCAAAGAACTCCGAGGACGGAGCTGTGTCTGTGTGTCAGCTGGTAAGTTTACGTTTGTTAACGTTACTGCAACTTAACACGTACATCGCGGTGAATTAAACTAGAATCCATGTAATGTTAACTTTAAGATATTAGTGTGTAAATTTATTTTATCTATGTAGCTAGCTAAACTCAGAAGCTAAAGATTGACAGTAACAGATGAAGCTTAGCTTGTAAAACTGCTCATCCATCGGATCAGCTGCTTAAAAAGTTTGCCTAAAGTTCAGCGTTTGTTTATGTTCTCACAGGAGACTCTGACCCTGATGTGAGGACAAAGACTCACAAAATAAAAGTCTGGTGGGGGCCACAGGACAGTCACAAACATTGTTGTTAAAAGTTTGCTGTCTTTTTCTACAGTGGGGGCTTCATGGTGGAGGTAAGTAAACTTTAAAAGGATTTTGTTGACAGTTAAGCTTTTATCTCTCAGCCTAGATAATGTTTTTTGAGCAATAACACCACAATCAGGTTATTGTTGATGTTTTGTGTTTTCATGTCAATTAGGGAGATGATCAGAGCCCTAAACCCCAGAGAATCACAGAGAAGATTCAGGCAGAGACACAGAGGTGCAGAAGTCTGCATCAGTGACCTGCTGGTGGAATATGAGGGACAATATGTCAGTGCTATCAAATTGACAACCAGGTATATGTGTGTGCAACAAGAATCATCTACACCCTCAGAGTGAACATGTTCTACTGCTGGAGACACCATCAGCCAGGAGTGGGCTTGTTTGTGTCCACAGAAAGCAGACATGTTGATTTTTCTGAAGAAAAACTGTTAAGTGAAAAGGTCCTCAGTGAACATTAGACACTGACGTGTCACTGGTTTGTAACTGGTCTTTTGACCTGGAAATTATTTGTTAGTTTTTATGTAAGAAAACTGCTTGGAATAGAAAAATACCAAAGTTAAAAAATAAAACTCACAATATGTACTGTAATATGCAACGTAATTTTATTCTTGTTAGAATTAATAGTAATTACAAAATTGGTACCGAAAAAAGAACCGTCCAGGAACGGACACCGAAGTGAAGGTACCGATACAGATTTTTTTAGAAAGGTACCCAGCCCTAGTTATTGGCAGCTCCATAGTCTGAAACGTGGCTTTAGGGACTCCAGCGGTCATAGTCAAATGCATTCCGGGGGCCAGAGCGGGCGGCATAGAATCTTATCTGAAACTGCTGACTAAGGCTAAATACAGTAAGATTGTTATTTACGTCGGCAGTAATGACACCCGGTTACGTCAATCGGAGGTTAGGGATGGGGCCGATCCAATATCCGTATCGGCCTCCGATACCAGCATAATTTACATATCGGATTTTTCCGATCCACCTGCCGATATTTCTGATCCATGATGCAAGTTGGCTTCAAACTATGGAATGGATTTCCTGAACGGTGGCGTATCTCATGAACCCAGAGTAATAAGACCTGCCTCACATTCAGGAAATCCATTTCATAGTTTGCAGTCCGCTACAACATGAGGACCGAGTTAGCAGCACTGTGGCTAACAGCTAACAAACTTTTCATCTAAACATGTCCGCTGTGTGGAAGTATTTTACACTAGAAACGCCACAAAACAAGACAGCATCGTGCAACGTCTGCAGAGCCATAGCGCCACATTAAACCGCGGTAAAGTTAGTTTTACGATGGACATTCGAGCTCCGTGGCTTCAGCGGGGCACTGCTCTTTGTTCAACCCACAACAGGCGACTCAACCCCGGCCAGCCACGTCCAATCTGCCCCGCTCAATCTGCCCGTCTCCGAGGAGGGACAGACAGAGCGCGGCTGCCCCAAATCAGGCTGCTTGCTTCGGATTGAACAAGAAGAAGACATCGCTGAAGCCACGGAGCTCAAATGTTTACAGAGAAGTTGCTAAACTTCATGATTAAGGACCAACCACTATCAGTTGTAGAAAAGGAAGGATTTCTCAGCTTGATACTTGCAGTCAAGATATAGTTTACCCTCCAGGAGATATTTATCAGTACAACAGTAGACAATCATAAAAAACATATGATTTGAAAATTATATATATTAAAAACATAAACAGCTACAATATAAAGTGTTGTAAAATACTAAAAACAGGAACATGTCTGTTGGTTTATGCCAGGTGTTTGAAGCCATTTAACATTTAATTTAATTTAATTCATTTATTCATTCATTTAAAAGAAACAAAATTTTAAAAAATCATCAAAAAGAAAACATAGAAAGAAAAGAGTGCAGAAAGAAGAAAAATAATTCTTATATCTGCCCCTTATTTAAAAAAATATAAAATGAATTTTAAAAATCACTTAAATTAATCACTTTAATATCCACTTTAAAGCTAGGAATAAAAATAAACATGTTTTGTGTTAGAATTTAATTCTAACTTTAAAACTTATCCAACATTAATAAAACTTAACTCAAGTTGCCTTTTTGGACATGCATGCATATATTTGTACAAATTGTACTTGAGAGGAGATTATTACAGCCTCATATAAAATCAATGATGATCATGATATCGGAACTGGATCGGTATCAGACGATATTTAAATGTAGGTACACGGATCGGAAGTAAAAAACGTGGATCGGTGCATCCCTAACGGAGGTCACTAAAATTAATGTTGCTTCAATGCGTGACTTTGCTAAAACCATGTCGGACTCCGTAGTTTTCTCCGGCCCCCTCCCCAACCTGATCAGCGATGACATGTTTAGCTGTATGTCATCGTTTGACCGCTGGGTGTCCAGGTGGTGTTCTGACAATGACGTGGGCTACGTAAATAACTGGAGCACTTTTAACTACATTTATTTATTTGGGAACTGCACCTGCATTTTAGTTTTGTGGTGGATTTTGTTGATCTATATTTTGTGCAGACTTTTTCAATCTAAATAACATAAGGATTATTTTTATTTTTATACTTTGTGACTGAATACTTTAATAAATAAAGTAATAGCAGTAAAATTAATCCTCGTTGTTTTTTTAGTTTTTATGTGATACTGCAAAGCAACATGTTAAGTTAATTTTGTCAAATGAATAACTGACTTCTGTTTTTTTTTTTTTTTTGGTTATATCACAAAATTTCTTGTTAGCGTCAGAATGCTCTGAAATATCACAATATTATATTTGAGCCATATCGCCCATCCCTACTGTAGCAGCATTTTTTTTTTCTTTACAGACAAAGATGTCAGACAAACAATGCATTTCATTGAGGATGACAAAAGTAACGTTACTAACACTGATATATATTTACCGCTAAATCAGATTTATTGTTCTGGATGAACTTTTACAAGACAATAGCCTATGCTAGGTTATCTAAACGTTAGCTTGCTAGCTTGAGACACACCTAGCTAATGACAAGTGGGTTGGAGGATTGAAGAGAACTTATTATTGTTGATTTATTTTACAGATCAATTAAAATAAACCTATCATGCTCTGTTCAGTAAAATACACTACACAGTATTGCTCCCTGCTTCATCTGTGCTGCATATCAAAAGTGAAACTTAAAACCATGACTTGAAAGTAGTCTTCATACACCCTCTGCTGGATACATTGTACAATTATGGCTGGTTCCAACGTTTTATGGGTGGAAAATTAGAAATACTTATATCAGCAGAAGATGGGACAATTATCACCGATAAGATAGGCCCCCAAATGTCTATATCTGCCTAAAATATCGGCCCTACCAATCTATCAGTCGGGCTCTACTCTCTATCACTTCATTTAGATCATTCCAGATTTCCCTTTTCCTCTAAATCACATCCAACCTCTGGAGAATAACCACTGACAACATTCAACATCAGACCTTCTACTTCTACCTTCAGACACATCACTCTGTCTGACACTCGTTTCACCACTACTACATCTCTTACAAAACTATATTTATTGCAATAAAAAAAAATAAAAAAAATTTAATTAAAAAAATTGTTAAAGCACTCAAATGATGACATGATAGAATAACTCAGGAGTGACAGTGGGAATGAAGAGCTGAACAAGATTTGTGGCAACCTTAGTGGGTTAAGACGGAGTGAAATACTACAGAAATCAAATAAGAAGCATTAGGCATGTCAGTTTTTGTAAATGCTGAGAGTTGGACACTTACTGTTGTCGGGGCGGGGGGAGGTGGAGGAGCGTAGGACGGGCGTTCTGTGAAGAGTTAAAAAAAACTGACATTAACCTGGCTGTGTATGGTTTCAGAATCATTCTTCATTCATTATTTAAAATGTTTTAGTTTTGTTACAATTTTGATAAAAACAGTGGGGTGTCCTAAACATTACGTTTAAAAAAAGAACTGAGGTCAAGTTGTCCACCATCCACCTCGTACACTTCAAACTGAATAGAAACTTAAAATCTAATGTCTACAATACAGACAAATGCATGTGAATAAACATAAACAAGAATTTGCAGTCAACACCAAACATTTTTCATCTGTAGGAATCAAGATGATGCAAAAGACCATAATTAGCTCCAACCACATACAGTGCTCTAAAATAGTATAATATGTGTTTTGTGTTGTCATCATTGTATGTTCTCTGATTTAACCCATCGCACCTGCGATACACCCAGGTGGAGCAGTGGGCAGCTGTGTAAGCACCCAGGGAGCAATTAGGGATTAGGTGTCTTGCTCAGAGACACCACAACATGTGGGAATGGCTGAGGATCGAACCTGGGACTTTCAGGTCCCAGGCCGGCTTGCCCTACCTTCACCTTACAAATTTCTACTGCATTTGCTTAAATGCAACAGTAAAGTGTTGGTACTACTTTCTTATTTTAGAGAATTTAGAAATCCTACAAGTAATAGATAGGAAAGTAATGTATCACTGTACATGGTGTTACAAACAAGTTTTCTTAAGACTGTCTCCCAGAGGCAGAAACAAAAATATACATATATGGATTTTTTTCTTGGTGTATGTGACTGGACCTCATTTCAAGAACCTTGTTAACCTTGACCCTCATGCTGAAGTATGCATCAAACTGTGATCCTTATACTGAGGTATGTACTCAACTGTTATACTGAGGTGTGTACTCAACTGTTATACTGAGGTATGTACTCAACTGTTATACTGAGGTATGTACTCAACTGTTATACTGAGGTATGTACTCAACTGTTGTTATGAGGCATGTATTTGTATGTGACCTTCATACTGAGGTGTAGGGCTGCAACAACGAATCGATAAAATCAATAAAAATTGATGATCAAAAGTGTTGGCGATGAATTTCATTATCGATTTGTTGTGTCGCGTGATTATGCGTCTTTCCTGGCGCTGCGGAGCTGTTTTGTTCACGGGCAGTTCATTGTCAATGCTGACTGACTGAATAAAGTTTGAAAGATAAAAAAAACTGCAACGCGAGTTGAGTGAGGGGGGAGGTAGAAGCAGAGGCTGTTTTCAAAAGAAATTAAATACATTTTACAAATGACCGACGCAGAGAAAAGTGTTCGACCCAAGTCCTCCAAAGTGTGGGAGCTCTTCACAAAGATAAAAACTGTGAAACACACAGCTTCGAAAAAGTGACGACACGACACGGGAGAAACACGGAGATGAAACGTAAACATGGCGGAGTTACGAGGAGGAGGAAGGAGCTGCAGCAAATACAACGTCTCACTCCCAACTCATGTGTTGCAGGTGAGTCTTTACAATTTAACACATTGTTCCATTTCCAAGTGAGAAAACGTAACGTCAGTCTGTCTGGTAGATGAAGCTGTTTGTTTGTTTGCTGATTAATGACGGTGATAGAGAACGTGTGTTACTTTTTATTTAATTTAATTGGTACAAGCAGTGTTTAAATGTGATTTATAAATAAATATAACACAAAGATAATAATTTAATGATTAAGCTTCAACTTTTAATTTGCTGGCAAAGACTGAAGACACTGCAGGTATGGCAGGATGAATTGCATTTGAACAGGAATTGAAGTAATTTATTACATCTACTCAAAAGTGTGTAATTAAGTATTTTATGTGTGTGTGTGTGTGTATGTGGGGGGCAGCACAGAGACGCAACTGGTAGAGCTGCTGCCTCTCAGCGAGCAGGTCCTTGGTTTAAACCCCGGTCCAGGGGCCTTTCTGGGTGGAGTTTGCATGTTCTCTCCGTGCATGCATGGGTTTTCTCCGGGTGCTCTGGTTTCCTCCCACAGACCAAAAACATGCAAGTTAGGCTGATTGGTAACTCTAAATTTTCTCTAGGTGAGAGTGAGAGAGTGAATGGTCGTTTGTCTCTATGTGTCCCTGTGATGGACTTGCGACCCATCCAGGGTGTACCCCGCCCCTCGCACAGTGATTGCTGGACATGGGCACCGGCGACCCCCGTGACCCAAAATGGAAGAAGCAGGTAAAGATAATGGATGGATATATGTGTGTGTGTTTAATTGCTCTTTTAGCTACTTTTTTCCAGGTGTTCCACCTCTTGCCTGTAGCTGGACTCATCATTGTTTGTGGTGGGATGCATCACAAACAATGATGAGTCCAGCTACAGGCAAGAGGTGGAACACCTGGAGAGCTGGTGCAGAGAGAATAACCTTCACATCAATGTGAAGAAGACAAAGGAGATGATTGTGGACTTCAGAAGGAACAAAAACACCTACACCCCCCTGAACATAAGAGGATCTGCGGTGGAAGTGGTCTCCAGCTACAAGTACTTGGGTGTACACATGAATGACAACCTCAGCTGGAGCAACAACACCACCAGCCTGATCAAGAAAGCTCATCAGAGACTCTACTTCCTCAGACGGCTGAGGCGAGCTGGTCTGGGAAGCTCAGTCCTCACCTCCTTCTACAGGTGTGCAGTGGAGAGCATCCTGTGCTCCAGCATAAACGTGTGGCATGGAGGCTGCACAGCTGCAGAAAGAAAAGCTTTGCAGAGAGTGGTGAAGGCTGCACAGAAATCTGTCGGAATCAGCCTCCCCACCATCACAGACATCTACACCTCCAGATGCAGGAAGAGGGCCACCTGCATCATGAAGGACCCCACTCACCCAGCACACACACTTTTTGCCCCACTCCCCTCAGGAAGGAGGTTAAGGAGCATTAAGTGTAGAACCACTAGACTGAGGAACAGCTTCTACCCTGAGGCTGTTAGACTCATGAATCTCTAACTAGAATAATCACTGTGAAAAACCATATCATGTTGCTGCTGATCTGTTTCATGTTGCTGCTGATCTGTTTCATGTTGCTGCTGATCTGTTTCAATGTTGATGTGTTCATGCGTGCACATCTGCTCACAGACTCATGTTCATGTTTGTGCTGATGTTCAATGTTTTATGTTATGAGTGCTTAGTGTATATTTAGTTGATGTTTTTCTTAGTTCATATCTTAGATGTTATTACTGTTTTTCTTATACATTTTATTGTTGGATGTAACTGGGACCCTGTGTACATAATTTTGCTCCACCACATGTACCACATGAGGTGCGAATGACAATAAAGAATCTCTGACTGACTCTTTTGCCTGAACCTAACACTGTAAGTGAAAAAAGGCATGTTTTGAGTTGCTGTAAATTATATTAGAATACATATAAACTCTCTCATTCCAGAAAACAACAACAAACAATGACAGCCTTCATGATGGACAGACATCATGGACACCACAGCAGCAGCTGTCTTCACTGAAATCATCCTTAAATGATCGTCACTGACATGAGGCCTCTGTCGATGTTTGAAGACGAAGGCTTCACTACAATGATCCACGTTTTTAATCCAGGTTACAATAATCCACACTTTTAATCCAGGTTACACTCTTCCCTTAAGGACACATTTTACAAAGTAGCTACATATTGTGCAGGTATAAAGCAGACATTTGGATATATTTTTGTGTACATTTATTTTTTTAAGCTATTCAGTTAACTTTTATTTTTTATTATTCAATATTTTACTAACAGAATAGTCAAATAGCAACCTTTTTTTGTGTGTGTGTGTGCGAATTGCTATGTCAGTCAAATGTTCAATTTCGGAATAAAGTGGTGAAAATCAAAACGTGTTTTTGCGCACAAACTAATCGATTAATCTACCCGCTCGTCATTGATGAATCGATTATTTGAATAATCGTTGGTTGCAGCCCTACTGAGGTGTGTACTCAACTGTGACCCTCATACTGTTCTCAGACAGTATGAGGGTCAGGATAACAGGTTAAGTCTCAAATAAACCGAATCATTTTCACAATAAATTAATATCTACGTACTTGACATTGCTGCTGGACAGTCACGTAGATCAAGCTACTTCCACGTTGATGAAGCTGGGGGGGGGGGGGGGGGGGGAAGAGAAAAAAACAATATACATTACAGTTTAAATCAAAAGTAACTCCACGAATGGAAACTGTCTGGCACGGGGGAAAACGAGCGGCCTGGAAAAGAAAAGTTGTGATGTTAGCATGAATGAATTGCGGCTGCTAGAACAGGCCAGCTAAACGAGCTAAAACTGGAGATCCTGCTACAAACAATAACATGGCATTATTTCTGAAATCAGATCGATTCCAGTCACGTACAGAACATCCGCAGGTGTTTAATTATTGAAGCCGTAATAAATCTTTGAAGAGGACAAGGCTTATAGAAACTTGACTGCTGGAGCGAGATGCTAAGCTAACAGACAATAAGTCAACAGCTAATCCTCGGCGCGTGGTGCTCGCGAGCTTTACCCACACATTTACTGAAAAAACTAAATAAATATACATGACATTAAACATTAAAGTTAGAACGGTAAAAACATCAATTAGTAATAGAAAAGAATGCTTACTTACTACAAATTATTCCTTTTGAAAAACCGCTTGTTCCGCCTTTCACATTTGGACCGGAAGTACTTTTTTTTTTCGTCTGAGCTGCGGACAGAAACGATCCTTTCAAAATAAAATCGTGTTTAGAATGATTTAAAACAGAAAAAGACAAGAAGGAAGCTCGAAGGATTTCAGAGCAGCTACAGCCCAAAAACTCAACAGAACTTTGAAATAAAAAAATCCAAGCCCAGAAAAAATTCCTACATTTTTAGGTATGAACTGAACTATGACGTGTAAAGAGTAACCTAAACATGTCTCCATTGTCTCAGCATGGTCACCATGGTAACCGTTTTAATGAAGATGGTGCATACTTTATTTCAACGCTAAGCTACAAAACACTAGCTGATGTAGCTTCAACTATAATGTCAGCTTTAAACTAACAAAGAGTCATGAACCCCGTGTAAATCACTTTACTAAAAATGCTGGATATTAATTGTACATGCATTTTTAAACATCCCTCCATCCATTATCTTTTACCCGCTTCTTCCATTTTGGGTCACGGGGGGTCACTGGTGCCCATGTCCAGCAATCACTGTGCGAGGAGTGGGGTACACCCTGTACAGGTCTCTAGTCCATCACTGTTAGCAGCATGGTCCTGTCAGCAGCGTGGTCCTATCAGCGGCTTGGTTCTGTCAATAGCTTGGTCCTGTTAGCAGCGTGGTCCTGTCAGCGGCTTGGTTTTGTCAACAGCTTGGTCCTGTCAGCAACTTGGTCCCGTCAGCCACATGGTCCTGTTAGCAGTGTGGTCCTGTTAGCAGTGTGGTCCTGTTAGCAGCTTGATCCTGTGAGCAGCTTCGTTATGTTAGCAGCTTCGTCGTGTTAGCAGCTTTGTCGTGTCAGCAGCATGGTTCTGTCAGCCACTTGGTCCTGTTAGCAGCTTGGTCCTGTTAGCAGCTTGGTTCTGTCAGCAACATTGTCCTGTTAGCAGGACCGCCAGCCACTTGGTCCTGTTAGCAGCTTGGTCCTGTTAACAGCTTGGTCCTGTCAGCGTGGTCCTGTTAGCAGCTTGATCCTGTTAGCAGCTTGATCCTGTCAGCAGCTAGTGTGGTACTATTAGCAGCGTGGTCCTGTTAGCAGCTTGGTCCTGTCAGCAGCTAGTGTGGTACTGTTAGCAGCATAGTGCTTTTAGCAGCATTGTCCCATGAGCAGCATGATGCTTGCAGGCGACCAGCATGAAGCTCCAGTATGAAATAGTAGGTCTGGCCAACAGCGACAAACTGCAATAAATCATTTGAGAAAACTATAATTTGAAGCTACATACATAAAAAAACATAGCCACCATTTAAATCTGAAATATGGAGCATTTAAGACGTTCAAAAATCAGCCCTGACATCTAAGGTCTGAAAGGGTGAGTTGCTCACCCAGTTTGTTCATAAGTTAGAGCAATTTATTGACATTACGTTTTTCTGCACTTCCCAACCAAGATATGGAGCCCAGAGTGATCGCAAACTTTGTAGAAGTTGGTACTCTGGGCTCTGATTGAATTAATAAATGTACAAATATTATTTGAGTCAGTTTGATTTCCCAAATCAATATTAAAGTCCTCAAAAAAATGTTTTGTTACAACTCCTTTCAAAGAGCTCCATGATTTTATCAGTAAATAGCTCTATATTGTATTTGAACATGGTGATCTATAGACACAACTAATTATTATATTGTTAGAGTTCTCTTTTAATATTTTAACCTTAATTATTTCCATTACATCAACAACTATTGACATCTTGTCCTTAATTTTGCATTTAATTTCTGTATTAATAAATAAAGCACATGCCCCACCTTTTTGTTACTTCTATTCATATAATATAATCCGTATCCTTCTATTTGAAAGTTATTTATATTTTCATCCAGGTCTCTGAAACTGCTATTATACTAAAACTTATGTTAAACTGTTTTAAATAGTCTGTTATTTTAGATACACTTGCATTTATACTTGTACTATTAAAATGAATCATAGTCCTAGTCCTAATCATAGTTGCTCTTCATTATAATATTAACAATCTTTGATTTCTGGAAAAAGATTTGTATCAGCCATACTACTCAAATTGTATATTTTTAACTTCAAGTCTTAGAAAGTATCCATATTTTAAAAATACATTTCCACCATAGATCAATATTGTTTCTATATCCACTACTTCATGTTCAGTGTAAATGAAGGTGTCCAGTTCTTCGATTAGTTGTTTTGTCATAACTGCACTCAGTTCCAGTCAATACAAGTTTGATCGTTTCCTTATTATGTTCAGTTTACTTCATGTTCATGTGGATATTACTGGATTTCACAAAGTTGAGCAGAAGTTTCCTTGTTCTATCTTCTTGTATCACTGATATTTATCCAGCTCAATTTTGTTAATTAAGTGTGTCTTAAATGAAAAATACCTCATGCTTAAAAGTATAAAAATTGTATTAACACTATTAAAGAATATGTCTTAAGTATTTAAGTTACACAAATATTTCCATTACTTTAAAGAGACAAATTGTAATAATAATAATAATAATAATAATAATAATAATAATAATAATAATAATAAACATGAGGGTTATGAGGGGCCCTCTGAAACGTTTTCTCTCCTGTAAGGGATCCCCGAACCACGAAAGTTTGAGAACCTCTGTTGTAATTCAATTCAAAAATACTTTATTAATCCCAGAGGGAAATTAAATGAATTAATGAGTGCATGAATAAAAATATTGATATTTAGTGCTCTGTTGTGTTAGGTTACCCTTGGCTCTAGTTTAGTCTTAATTTAGCTTTATGCTTTTGAATTCAAGTTTATAACACAAGAATAAGGACACAGCACTTAAATGGTATGTGGTTTTATTACAAAAGGGGAAATGTACAAACTATTTACTAACAAAGAATGAAACATGAATAGAACATCCATGAATCCATTATCTTTTACCTGCTTCTTCCATTTTGGGTCATGGAGGTCGCTGGTGTCCATGTCCAGCCATCACCGTGCGAGGGTTATGGTAAATAAGGTCAATCATGCAAAACTTTCACGTCTAAAATATAGGTTTATATTTTATATTTTTGTGGATTAAGCTGACTCCCTTGATAAAGAAAATCAGAAAAAGGTTTACTCAAAAATAATAAATAAAAATAAGGGTACAGTTACAAATGGTCTACCTGTTAGTAACCCATACATGTTAAATAATGTTGACGCCAAACCATAATAATAATAATAATTCCAGTAGATGAAAGAGACCATGGCCCAGTTCCAGGAGGGTAACGCCACTTTCAGAATAAGTGGTTGGATCTTTGGACCTCGGGGCTCATGTTGGTCTGGCATCGTGTCCCAGGAGTTAAAATCCCCCAGAGTTTGCCCAAGGGGATATTCTCAGCTGAAGGACACAGAGTGCATTTTCACAGATCAAGTTGGAGACAGGCCCAGCTGTGTCTGGTTTGGAACAGCTTGAATAAGGAGTACGAAAGCAACTAATCTAACAAGGTTGAGTCAGGTGACGACAGGTCCTCTGGACGGATTCTTTGTTGGAAAGTTTTATCTTTTATCCAAAGGACTTCTTCAGTCTGAGGAGCTGCAAGCAAATAGTCTTATAAGCAACTCCTTATTCAACCTTTATCTATACAGGTTAGGCTCATTGAGTCAAGAGGACTCATTTACAAGAGAGACCTTTTTTAAACAAAGAACACAGCCGAGGTACAGACAACATATGAAGACATATAAAATGAAAAGTAAATAAATATAATGGATCAACCAGTTTGTTGGTTGCCAAAACTAGTTGTTCACTTGCTAAATGAGGACCATCAGACTAATGACCAGCTAAACTCAAGTAATAATTTTAAAGGAGACTTTAACTTTTACCAAAGTAATTTTATGGTAAGATACTTGTACTTTCACTGAAGTATCACTCTTAGGTACTTTATACAACACTGAGTATTTATTATAAGAGGGGAACAATTTGACATGAAAACCTCCGCCCGTTTAACGACAAGCGGGTTCTCTTCACAAAGATGGCCTCCTTTACTCCTCTCTCAAACCATCGTTCCTCTCTGTCCAGGATGTGAACATCTTCATCCCTGAAAGAGTGACCGCTGGCCTGGAGATGAGTGAAGACCGCAGAGTCCTGGCCTGATGATGTTGATCTTCTGTGCTGGACCATCCTTTTGGCCAGTGGCTGTTTAGTTTCCCCGATGTAAGACTGATCACAGCCCTGACACTGAACAGCATACACAACATTACTCTGTTTGTGCCGGGGCACTGGATCTTTAGGATGAACCAGTCTTTGCCGTAATGTACTGGGACGTCATGTTTAGAAACGTCTTGTAGTATGACATATGCAGGATATATTCATACATTTTCACGAGTTCTTCATTTTTCTGACTGTGTAAATGTCGTGCATTGAATTTAACAGAAACGTAACGAGAGACGTTATTTATCTTTGACCCATCAAAATGAATGCGGTCATTTATTTGCAGAATCAAAGTTTAACATCAAACATTTACATTAATTTGGCAAAATATGAAAACAATAACATGGCTAGTTTCACAGAAAGTGGGCACAATAGCGTTGTGAGATCAATGTAGATTATGGTACTTAAGGTAGCAATAATATACATTGACTCCGCAAAGATTGCAATTTAATGAATGAACTGCATGTTGGCATGGTTAAAGGCCTCTTAGTCTCTAACTTAACTACACAACAAAATTCATTCTTGCCTGGGGTGTTCGAAAACAATACCAAAAACCAATTAAACGATGTCTCAACATCGACAAAAACAGTGACTAAGCAACCAGT